ATTGTCATGCATACCAGATGTTTTAAGTTCTCCAAATCGTTCTGGAGTTCAGATGATTTATTCTACTAGATCAACCGAGTTTGGGACAATGTCTTTACTATCGAAATATTTCCAGACAGATGCACAGTGTCTATGTGGATCGTGCATGAACTATTGTCATGCATACCAGATGATCTAGGTTCTCCAAATCGTTCTGCAGTTCAGATGATTTGTTGACTAGATCAACAAAGACTAGGATAATATCTGTAGTATCGATTTGAAAATCCTAGAACATTTGGCATACACGGAAATAGGTTGGCATGATCTACATAGACACTGCAAATTTGTTTGGGCATATTTCGATACTACAGATATTGAATTAGTATTGGGTGATCTAGTAGTAATCTAATCTCCAGAATGATTTCAGAACTTATAACATCTTGTATACGTAGCAATAGATCGGGTACAATCCACATAGACACTTTGAATCTGTTTGGACATATTTCGATACTACAGACATTATTGGAGTCTTGGTTGATATAGTAGAACAAATCAACTGAACTCCAGGACGATTTGGAGAACCTAGAATATCCGGTATACATGGCAATTGCTCGCATATATACGATTCGTTTATGATTGGAAAAAAAGGAAAATGTCTCACATTGGACAGACCTCAGGGAATTTCCGTATAAATCCGATGTGACTTATGGAATTGAGATCATTTCTCGATTATTTGTAGGGTAGTTGGTTTGAACCGGTAAAAAGTTGAGAGCCAAATGAACAACAAAATTGATGACAGAAAAATAATCCGGGACGATTACAATGAATTCCACAATTTTTGTGACAGCACATCAGTCCCTTCGCGATTTCCGCGACATCATTTAATGTTTCCGCGATTTTCGCGACTGAAAATTAAAATCCACGACAAATCCGCGAAAATCGCGAAATCCGCGAAATTCGCGAAATCCGCGCCTGTTGTAACAGCCCTGTACTTCAAGAAAGTTTAGAGAATCTGGAAACAGATTCCCTGCATAGTTTTAAGGCTCATGGAATTTTATTATAATTTATAAGGAACTCATTCCACGGGAGTTCTGGGAAAAAATCTATGAGAAAAACATCAACTGCAATCTGCTTTCATGGTACTTCTGAGGAATTTTAGACTTCATGTGAAACCCTAAGCCTAAGATAGTAAACTCCAAGCGAATTTTCATGAGAAACCTCCGTTGAATATGGACTAATCTGAGGTCTTCATAACTACTTAAAAGTTCCAAAAATATTCCTGAATTTAATTAAACTGCCTTGAAGTTCTTTTGTAGTTTGTGAAACTAACCTGATGCTCGCAATATTCGTCATCATTTCTTTTAATTTTTCTAAACTTTTTCGGACTTCCTCAAGTTTCCACAATTTTCCTAACGATCATTAATCTTCTCTTAAGTTTTAACAATTCACTGAATTTCTCTAAACATTTTTAAAATTTATGTAATTTCCCTGCTCTGAGGATATCTGTTCTTTCTTGAAGTTTTTTTTTGTTTAGAGCTTTATTAGCGAGATCAATATCATCCTCGAAGTTCTCGAAACTTCTCTAAAGTGTTTGCAGTTCTCATGAAGCTTGTTGCACTACCATGAATTTAATTGAACTGTTCTAAAAATATTTAAGCTTGCGTGAACTTATGGACTTATGTTTTTTTTTTTTTATTTATTTGATAAGGCTCAACCGAATTAACTTTACAGAGCCGAGGATTCTTGGTCACTATACAATACATTTTAAAACTATAGTCAAAAGGTACAACACAATAAACACTTTATCTTCGGATATCCAAAAAAGCCTCCTCCATCAGAACTGGAGCCGCTTCCAGTAGTTTCATTGTATGGCAAATTGTAGTACGCCAACGAGGGTCAGAACGCATCCATTGCAGCAATGGACGCAAAACGTGGTCAGCACTCACACACTCATCACGAAACGGTTGCTTTCCAAAATCGACGACGCATCGACCGAAAGAACTGCTGATGAAGAACAATGAGGAGGACTACACAATGGTTGCTGCCGAGATAACAGACGATCGCGTAGCACACATCCAGAGTGGCCTGCTTTTGTCGACAGCCGAGTGAACACTGATATGGACTTATGTGAAATCCTCAATAATTTTCTTAACATTTCTAAAGTTCTCTGAAAAGCTGAGAACTTCTTGAAATTTCCCGCTAATTTAGTGAAACTAATGGAACTGAACTCCCCTGAAATTCCCTTTGTTTTTGGAGCTTTGCTAAACTTATTTGAGATGCTCCCGAAATGTCCATAAAAGTTCCTGAAGTTCTCGGATCTTCCCTTAAGTTCCATAGACTTTTATGAAGTTCTCGGAATGTTTCTTCTCTGTACTTCTGTGAAGTTTTCGAAGTTTTTCTGAAATTTCAGGAACTTCTTTTGACTTCCCCAGCGAAATAATTAATATAATTCTATGATTTTCACTGAAGTTCTCAAGGTTTTCTGAAGTTCAAATTATCGAGTTTCCTGATGTTTTTAAACTGCCCAAAATATTTCTCAATTTCCGTAAAATTCTCTAGACTGTCCTGCCTTAGCATTTTTTTTAAAGAACCCACCATTTTACTGGAATTGATTTAATTGCCTTTAAGTTCTAAAATTTTCCTTATGTTTTATAATAATAATACGCTCACGGAACTTTCCCTTGAATCACTCATTTTTTCCTACAAGAAGTTTTCTATTTCTCTAAATTGATCAAATGTTCCGGTAAATTTTCTGATACATATTTATAATTCCCTGAAGTTTCTAAAGTTTTCAGATCAATCATAGAATTCTCGTAGTATCTCATAATTTTAAGGAACTCCTTGTAAGTCGCTGCAAATTTCCTTAAGTTAATGTGATTTTTCTGATGTTATCAGATCGTCCTCGAAGTACTCGGAATAAGTGCTTGCTAAAAGTTCTCGCCGTTTTTTTAATTAATGGAACTTAGTTGATGTTCTCAAATCAACTTAGCTAAATTTTCGAATTTTCTTAAGATCATGAAATAACACCCTTGAAATACTCTCCAATTATCCGGATGTTCATATAATGTTTATTGCGTTCCAGGAATTTTCTCTGAGCGAACCGAAGTTTCCGGAAATTCCGGTTTCTGCAATTTCCTTGAAATGTTTTGAACTGCCCTTTAATTATCTGATCTGTTTTGATGTTCTCGGAGCTTCCGTAAAACTCTAAACTCTAATGAAGATCTCGGTTCTGCTTAAAATAAATGGAATTCTCGTAAGCACCTTTGAACTTCCCTGGAATTCTCTGGATTTCTGTGAAGTACCTGATATATTTCTGATGTTTTCATAAATTTTCTGAAGGTCTCTGTACTGGATCTTTCGGAACATCTGATGGGTTCTCGATTTTACTTCAGCACCTCATGCAACTATCCTGAATTTATCTAAAATCACGCTTATAGATTTTTAAACAAATTCAATAGTCTGGGCTAAAGTTTTGGGGGCTTCCCCTTGAGATCTCTGGAATTCCTCAAAGATCTCTAGATCTAGCTTTTCTGAGATCGATCAATAGAATTTCATTAAAGTTTCCACATTTTTGTTAGTACGAAAACGTCAAGACATTAAAAATGATGTGATCTTAGACTTACTAAAATGAAGTAAGTTTTCAACTTCAACAATTAATGGATTTGATAGTAAAGCTGTTGCTTTAAAACTGATTGTCATGTCTTAAAAAAGTTTGCGTTAAAAATATATTTTTAACGCATTTCATAAATAGCATTCTTATTATAAACCTGGAAATTATCCGCCAAAGTAATTGTATGATTTAATAAACATTAGTTTAACATTACCTACGAAATTCTAAATTTCAGTATTACAATTTATTGGAAATTCACTAAATAAACAAAGGTTTCAAAAATGTTTGTGCTCCTACTAATTTAACTATCTCGAAATTGTGTATATCCTTTTAGACTTCACTTTTGCTAATATTCAACCTCCTCGATTGACACCTGTCATGGCCGTGCCATGACGTTTGTCCTTATCCTCATTTATCGACAGACCCGTCAGTCAGTGAGCCCACTGGTGTTGTGCCCAACGGTGGTGGCAACAATCGCTAAAAAAAATAGGTTCGCCAGCTAAGCGAAAGAGTGGATCATATCGTTAATCCGATGCCAGCGCTGTAGCGAGGGATTCGCGAAACTAATCATATTTAAATAGAACATTAACAACCGTGTACGACGTTTGAGGAGAACGAGTTACGTCTGTTTGTCTGTGCTAAAACTATGCTTCCTTGAGTCTTCTTCGATAAATCATTTGAATTGAATATTAAACCTAGTGTCACTCCCGTCCCGGCGCCATTAGTAGTCCCCTCATCTTCACAATCTCGAGTCAGTTGCTTGTTTCCAGCTACTAATTCTCACGTAAGCGCGCAATCATCCGAGATTCTAGAAGGCAACGGCAGTAAAGCAAAACAATCTATGTGCCACCTTCTTGCTAATTTGCAGCACAAACAGATTCGCAAAAAAAGAAGAAAACGACACAAACACGCTATATTGGATTCCCTCTATCGGAATAATAGGGGAGAGGGAAGACTGAGACCGCTGGAGAGCGCAGAAAAAAAAACACAAATCCTAAAGATAATATTCATTACTGGCTATTACCTTAACGATAAACGACACGCTCTCCCTATTCGGGTTGGAGAGGTCTAACCGGGGGTCGTCGCCGTCGTCGCGGCCAGGGCGGTAGCTGGGAAGGGGCTGTCTCGCTCAGCTAAACAGAAATGCAAATATGGGTATAGAACGCCGACGACGACGACGCCGAGTTGGACGACGCAGTGCAGCGCGATTCGCGAAAAATTTGCACGACGGGTGGGAAGAACACAGACTTACGTAAGGCCGTCGATTATACTATATTTGGACGAACCGGGTGTGGGTGGTTCCGTCCGGAGGAGGAAGACACTCGACTGCGAATGTAACGCAGCAGATGATTTCCAGACTTCCGAATTGTGAAAGTTTCATTTCAGTCTACTATATCGATTGGCTACTTACCGATTTAGGCATTTTGGACGTTTGTTTGTTAACTTGACGGATGAAGAACTATTAAATCCAGCGGGTGTGAAATACGGTGACGATGTTCTGGAAAAGAAAGAGATACAAAACCAAATTAGAATGGTACCGTAGTGGGTTTACCGACCCGCTCAAGGGTCGGTAATGTAGCTTAATCGACCGTGCAAATTTTCACTCAAAACATTACGTTTCGGGTTCAAAAGCCTTCCCCACCCACCCAAATGCTGCGCATGTAAATCATTTTCGCATCGAAGCTTCTTCGGATGGTTGATTAACTGCAGCACTGGTCAACAAGTTAAGGGAGCGAGCGAGAGAAAGAAATTTCCCGCAATCAATCACGTAGCGTAGTCGCCTCTCTTTCTCTCTCACACAGCGAGCTTCAACATTTGATAACAGAAAATAAACCGACCACCGGAGAAAGAGACGAAAGAGTGAAATTTTTATGACGATGGCGGATTTTTTTAATGGACTCCCCTCGCCTCGCCACTCACCGTATTCACTCACTCAGTGAGTGGAAAAACGCGCCATGCTTAATTTATGACGTTCGGGATTCGTCGTAGGTAGGTACCTCTCTATACAGCTTATTGTTTTCAGAAACGAAAGTAAAAGGCTCGCCAACTGCCGACAGACCCAGCTACTTTCGGGTGACAACGCGAACGAAAGTGAATGTTTTGATTTTTATCGTCCGCTATCGTCGGCGGCCTTCAACTCTCTCTCTATCTCTCTCTTTTTATCGTTGGAATTTTGACGTTGTCGTTAGAGCGAGGATCGGCCGTCGGAATGAGTGATTGGAAAATCGTGTCGAATTTGGTGATGAGGTGTGCGATAACTGTCAGTTACATCATATACGAATTTGATTTTCATTTTTTCGGTAATTGAATTTAGAGGAACCGAAGCGATACGGGCAGAATGATGTAAGAGGGAGGATGCAAGTTCGGGTGTGCTTGGTTGATAAAACCATATGCATGCTTGATAGGCTTGGTTAACGAATAAATAAGAGTGATGGTGTAGTCGTGGCTTCAACTCGCCTTCACATCAATTATAGTAAAATGACATAGAATAGAACATCCACCTTTAACTAAAACTTTTGGCTCCGTAATGCGCATATCGATTGAGCCATTTTTTTTATATTTAAAAAAAAAGTGTCTGCAAATCTGCTTGGTCTCATGAAATGTCCAAACTAGTATGAATGAGATGGTTCGTGGGCTGTCCTTAGATGGGTTGCAGGATTTCAGACCAATCAGTCCTCAATTTTTATAAGTATTATCAACAATTTATCTGCATTTTAAACAGGGTGTCTACTCAATCCAAGGAATCAAATTCCCTGAGTTTTCCAGGTTTTTCCAGGTCGAATGAAAAAAATTCCAGATGCATACAAATTATAGACATTATTATTTTATCGAACCCCCCTGTTTGCTGGTGTTCACACTGCTTGCACATGTCGAAAGAACTGTCAATTTAGATTTCAAAACAAAACTATATCAGAAATCAAAAGTAAATACTTCCATCATGAATTACCGGAAAATTGCTCTAGTTTCGGCAGACGTAATTGCTTTTATTATTTTAAATAAAATGAGAAAGAGAAGGTGAACTTTGTGGAGTAGGAAATGGTTGCTCAGAAGGAACACCGGCAGGGATTTGGCTCATCTTGTCCATCAAGAGCAGCGATATGAAGATGAAAATGGATTTCAAAACTTCGCCAGGATGTCGATACCAACTTTAGACAAGCTAGTGGGAAAAGTTCCTTGAGTTCTGAAAATTTCTGTTAACAACTCAATTCTGCAAGGTCTTCAAACCTCTTGACGTCCCTGAAGTTTTGTTTCTGTTCTCCGGTAAAATTTCTTTAAAGAACAACAATCTTTCCTGACAATCTGCGAATGTCTCGGTAATTCTACAGATTTCTTTGAAGTTCTGTGTGTTCTTCGGAAGTTCTGCAAATTTTCCTAAAAATCTACAAAGTTCCTGAATCCCTGACGATTTTAGATCCTTGAAGATCAACAATTATCTCTGATGTTCACAAAATTTCTAATAATCTACAAACTTCTCGAAAGTTCTGTAATTTTCTCTACAGATTTTCATGATTCAATGAATATCTGCAAATATCTCTGAACATCTATACAATTTTCTAAAGAATTGAAAGATTATCTAGAATTTTTTTAGCTTTCCGGAAGTTTTTCTAATTTTTCTGAAGCTGTGCAAATATCTCTAAAGATCAGCGAACTTACCTGAGGTTCTGTAAATGTCTTTCAAAATCCAAGAACCACAGTAAAATTCTGAAAATTTATTTAAACATCTGCTAATTTTTGAGTAGATTTACGATCTACCCTCAGAACTTTTCTGAAGTTCCTAACATTTATTTCAAATTCTGTAAAGTTTTCTGAAGTACTGAATTTCTGCATCTACGAACTGCCATGAAGTTCAATACATTTCACAGTTGATCTCCGAACTTTTCTAAAGTTCTTTAAATTTCATGGTGGATTCTTGGCGAACTTTCCCGAAGATCTGTGAGTTTTGCTGAAATTTTGCAAATTTTTCTAAAAACGTACGAACTTTCTGACGTTCTACAGACTTCTCTTAAGGTCTGCGGACTTCTCTGAAGTTCTTTAGATCTATCTATTTCCGACTTCCATGGAGTTCTGCAAAATATTGTACTTTTGTACTTCGCTGCGAATTGTTTTTGGAATTGAGGTGCTTTTCTGACATTTAACGAATTTTTCTGAAGATCTCACATTTGTGTGAAACTGTGAAACTTTCTGTCAAATTCCTGCAAATATCTTTAAAGTTCTGTAAAGTTGCCTTAAGCTCCGTAGCTCTATTCCCAAGATCTACAAAAAAAAAAAAACTTGAGGCTCAATAAATTTCTCAGTAGATCTGCAAACTTCTCTGATGTTTTGTAAATTCCTCTAGGGTTACCCTGAAGATTTGAAAATTTCCTTGATGATTACCTAAAGTTGTCAAACTTTATCTGAAAATATTTGAGCTTCTTTGAAGTTTTAAATGTCTCTCTCAAGATCTACAAATTTTCCTGAAATCGTGTAAATATTTTTTTTATCCCTGTAGTTCTGCAATTTTTACTGAACATCCATTAACATTTCTGAGATTCTTGTGATTTTTTATGAAGTCCTGTAATTTTTTTCAAAGTTATGTAGCTTTGTTCTGTAGATGTACGAACTTTTCTGATGTTGAATAATGTTTCGAGGATCTTCAAACTTCTGTGAAATACTTTATATTTCACTGTAGATTCTTAAACTTGTCTGAAGTTATGCGAATTTCCCTGAAGATTTGTAAAATTTCGCTTATAGTTTTACAAATTGATTTGAAATTATTTTTGCTTGCTTGAAGTTTTGAAAATTTCTTTGAACATTTATCTGAAGATTTACGACCTCTCTTGTGATTTTGTTTTTATGAATTTCTGTTGATAACTTTTAATTTGTTTGTAATTCTGTTCTCAAGATCTACGAACTACCCTGAAGCTCAACAAATTTCTCAGTAGATCTCCGACCCTCTCTTAAGCTCAAAAAAAAAAAAATTCTATGTTGGGTCTCAGACCTGCTGTCTGGCATGCTTATTCTTATACAATACATGCTTCGTATGCTTCCTTTTGACGGTTGCCAGTCTCTCTTTTTCGGCTGTTTCCTTTTTACGACGATTTTGATCCTCCACATACAAATCAGCGAAGAGCGAGCGTGACAAGACTCTCTGAATGAACTTGTCTCGTTCGCACACGTTGTCTTAGCTGTCAGATGCTTGTCAAGTTCAGTGTCCTTAAGAAACGTTTCGAGAAACTGAACGAAAAACTTCTTTTGAATTACGAATGAAGTGATAATTGGAAGATTCCCTGAGTGGAACCAAAATTCCCTGAATATTCCAGGTTTTTCCAGAAAAATTAAAATTCCCTGTAAATTCCCGGTTTTCCAGGTTTTTCCAGGTAGTAGACACCCTGTTAAATCATGCTGAGACAATTACAATTGAGGCAACAATAAAATCTTTGATTTTTATGGAAAGTGTTGAGGGATTTCTTTTAATTTCTCTCGCTTAGATTTGAATGTTTTGAGGTTTAAAGTCAGTTAGGCGTTTTTAACCTAAGTTTTTTCACCTAAATTATCAGATATTGGCTAAATAATTTCTTGAACAATTACAAAACAAAAAAATAGGTTCGAATCGATCGGGAACTGCTTCTAATTTTTGTTCATTAATTTATTTGATAAGGCTCAACCGAATTAACTTTACAGAGCTGAGGATTCTTCTGCACTATACAATACATCTTAAAACTATAGTCAATAGGTACAACCAGACATGGAAAATCATTTGCATTCATTTCGTACATTCATTGGCATTCATTTGCCTCCAACTTTTTTCATCAACAGAATTCCGTAAAATTATGTATGAAGCTTTTGTAGGTTGTATAATTAACTACAACTTTTGCAAATAATTCAAATCTGTATCTCTTATGCATGATGAACTAGAGCGGGCAGAACATGTTATTGTTTTTCGGTGAATGTAATTTACATTCACTCAAAAACAATGGTGGGTTCAGTTTGCTCTGGTTTATCATGCATAAGAGATACAGATTTGAATCCTGGACAAAAGTTGTAACTAATTATAAAACCTACAAAAGCTTAAAATATTACTTTGCGGAATTCTTTTGATGGAAAAAATTAGAAACAAATGAATGTAAACAGGGTGGCCACAGAATTTTTATTTTGAAATTCCCGGTTTTTTCCCGGTTAAAACATTAATATTTTCCCGGTTTGCCTCAAACAAAATAAAATGAAAATAACTAAGCAAGTTTTCTACAATTTTCATCCACAAAAACAGAAAACCAAACTCATAGCTGAATCCAGATGAAGATACAAAAATAATAGGAAAATATGTTTATGTTCCATACAAAATGGTCGAATCAGTTTATATTTAAAAAGAAACCTTAATATTACACTTTACTTTCTCAGCTCTTTTAGTTTAACGTCCAAAGCAGCAGCCTCTTTCTCTGCGTCTGCCAAAATTTTAGCCTTTTTCATTTCCAGCTCTTTTATTGCTTTGTCCGCTTCCCTCTTTCGGCTAGCTTCTTT